CTTTTCACAATGGTATAAGCTATCAGCATAAGAAGGATTTTGGGGTTACCCATGTTCGTCGCACAGCTATGTTTTGGTTTTTAAATAAAAGAAGGATGCAGTTCTACAATGTTACATACAACACCGCCACGAACCCTATTTGACATCAACTCGACACCAACTTAACTGATTCCAAATTTTTAGTCTAAAATACACTATAATTAAGATGTAATTAACTCAATTTTAGATGAGGTAGTGTATTGACAAGACTAGCGTAAAACCTCTATATTACACAGCTTTAACTTAAAGTAGCCAAGTCTCTAACTCAATATCATCCAAAGTCTTTCACATTGAAAACACGAATTTCAGTCAACATTGATGTCGTCTTACCTGGAAAAGATGGACTTCTGATATCCAATATTTAAGACAAAATAAACATTTTACACGATTCGTGTACCATAATGCGTTTAAATCAGCATTGATGTCGTTTTACTTGGAAAAGATGGGCTTCTGATATCCGATATTTAAGACAAAATAAACATTTTACCATTGGTACACGAATCGTGTATCATAATGCATTTTGACAGCGCCATTTGTAACATGGGACTCGAAGAACGGGGCTAGACATATTCCACAAGTCATAAGAAACGGTGACGCGATATTCTTATCTGGAGAGCACGAGCAATAAATACTATCGGTGCAGTCTGGAATAACCAGAAGTTAGAGATTGTCATTCGTTTGAGACTTCTGGCGTATTTCGAAGAACATAACTGATTTGAAATTAGAGTAAAAACGAAAACGATTGAAAATAAATCAGTTAATATACATTCCTATTACATTATTATATGCGGTGCGACCCATTTGTGTCAATTTCTAGGTAGCAAATATTAGCGTTTTAGCTCCTTTAAAATCTCCGTCTTCATTAGCCCAGTATAGGAGCAGAGCAATAGGACGTTAAACCCCATTTCATTTCCTTTAAAATCTATACTAATATTTGTGAATGTCGTTTGTTTGTCTGTCCGTTCAGGGTTGGCGGCTACATTAGGGTGTCCCGAGGCTGAAATTTGGTGTATAGGGGTAGCTCGGACCGGTGAGTAATACAAGCCTGGTGGCGATGGACTACCATTTCCAGTTTCAGAGTTAGGCTACTTCCGGTTCATGGCTATACCCGTGCTGCGCCAGGTCAACCGCTGTTCAAAACTTAAAATGACCCATTGTACATTGTGTTTCTATAGGTGAGATATTTAACCTTATATGTATATTAAAGTGTGTCAGGGGCGACATATGTGTAGGTTTGGGAAACATTTCAAAACAAAATTCGCCCTTGTCGTTCTGACAAAAACAAAATAAAAAACCTCATGTGAAGATTCGGATATTTCGAACTACATTTGTTAAGCTTTAGTTGTCACGCTAAATTTTGTATTTTTAATTGGATGTTTAAAAAAGTAAAAACCTGAGAATGATTATTTTACATTTGTAGATAACAACCGTTTGTTAGTCATTTATTATTTACAAGTTAGGACAGGGAGCGTTTTCTTAAAAAAAAATTGGTTATATGACGTGGTTGGCTTTTTATCTTTTGACATTTTACTTTCAACTGATATTTTATTATTATATATTATTAATATTATAATATAGATTAAACTCCCAGGAGTTCATATTTCTATAACACTCTCTATTTCTCATTAATGTATACTATTGGTTTGAAATCTACCAATTCTGAATATAATGACAAATACAAGGTTGGCAGAATACCAATACTGATTGCTGTTTACAAATATTCTATTAAACTAATGGCAAATTCATTCGTAAAAAAAGGATCATTTCCCCGAGGAAGCATATGATCAGTTAGTATTAACCTAGTGTCTTTTAAGAAAATTATTGTGAAATTAATGCAATGTTTGCAGAAAATTACATGTAATTCCATGTAGCGCCTCAAACTGATAGGTAGACCTATGTAATTTGGATTAAGTAGTGTTGACGTGAAAGTAATCCAGGCAATGTACACATTTTGGCTAAGAAAAGAAAAACCTAAAGAAAAACTCAAAAATGACTATATCTACAAAGCTTGTGTTAAAAATTATCTGTCTGCGTTAAAATATTTGGCCATATCCTGTAAATATTCCCGCGTATATATTATGCAAACTAGATCATTTCGGGACAAACACATGGTTCTATTTTATTTCCATAATTCGCTTGCGCGTAGAGGTCCTTAGCAGTGGGAGGAAACCGGAGGACCCGGAGACAACCCACGAGGTTGGACAGACGATCCTACTCCTTGTCACGTACAGCCGGGGAATCGAATCCACGCCAGTTGACTCAATGACAAACCTTATGATACAGCCCCCCCCCCCCCCAACAACTGAGGTGGTATAATGTTGAAGTTATTGTGCCATAGGCCTCAGCGATATCATATCTGTTTATATTGAAAATATACGAATAATATGACGTTTGGGGCCTCTTTATTATAGTTTATAAAACCCGAATGAGTCGTTTGAACTTTCAAATAGGATTTGATCTTAAAAGTTGGTGGAATTAATTCGAATCTTTATAAATATTCACAGTGTTTACGTTTAAAAGAGCAGCACCGTTATTAATTCATTAACAATAATGCCCAATAATTTTATATGATATATGTTACGTTTTGCCCCGAACAATTTGATATAATAAAAACGGTCCAAAATTAGAGCTGCGTCCAGAAAGCACATTGCCTGTTCCTCATAATTCCGGAATAGATTCAATATCCATAGTTGGCCTATTATATCTATCGTAAACATTAGCATTATCAGGTACAATATAAAATGCCCCTGAAATAAAATCTCAAGCGTATTTTGATATACTATCGGAACTTTTATTTTCAAAGATAGCGAATCATTCGCTTGACGCGATGATTTCATTCGGACGATCCACAGAGAATATTTGCTATCGCATCATTAGTTTGAAACATTTTCGACTTAATAATGCACTTAAAATGTAATAATGAGCCATTAATTAATTCGTCTGATATATTCTTTGATACATAAATCGAGAATTGTTATTTTATCGTCCATTTTGTAACATTGATTACTTAATTATCTAGTATTAGCCTAAAATGTTGCTACAAATATACAGGCCACAAATAAATTAATTAGCAAATGAAATTGAAATGGGGTTTACCGTCCTACTTTTCTGCACTAGACGGGCTACATTGTGCAATTAGGGAAATTTTACGGCCTACTCTTATTTCGGATGGGACAAAAAACCAGAGTCCCATGTACACAAAGAACACTTGACAGCCTGAATAGCACCAACCTTATGTTAAAATGTAGGAAATGGAAGCGTTAAAATTTTGAGTTATAATTAATTCTGCTGAAACCAAGATGGATAAACTTGATCATGATCACTAAACAGGCGGAAAAGGATTATTTTCTTTTTTATTTCATTTGGTGTGTTTTCTTTTTAATTTCATTTGGTGTGTTTTCTTTTTAACTTGTGTGAAAGCATTACTAGGAAAACAATAACACTCAGATTTTTCGGTTTTTGAAAGTTGAGGAAGATCGCAATTAAACCAGAAAAGGGCTACTATTCGATTTAGGCAAAGGTAAGCAAGCGATTGCCATGCAAGATACGCCCACATTTTGCATTAGATCACCTTTACACGGTTTTCGGAAAACGGGGGGGGGGGGTATCTACGGAACGAAATGTCACGGTGCGGAAGGTCACGGGTCGCTTAATATCACATCATGAGTCATGACCCCCAATGCTACACACGAAATTTGAAATAAATCCGTTAAGGGGGGTAACTCCGGAACGTGCGGGGCAGGGTGTGTGAGAAAAGCTGAATATCGATAGGGTTCGTCCAGTCATGAACACACCTAAATTGAAAAAGATCTGTTAAGTACTCGATGGCCTCTATTACTTTCACAATGTTGGGCATGACTCTGGAACAGGAGGTTGCGAAACGCTGATTATCGAAAGGCTTCGCCCTCTTACGACCTCAATACTTCTATTTCACATTTTTCACATCCAACTTATCTAAGTAAGAACTTTTGATTCTTAACACATATGTTAAGTTTCATCTAAATCGGATAAACGTTGTGGCCTCTGATTTCCGCGCCCCCGGTATACGTATTACATGCTTTTACACTATTTGCTTCAAACATTATATTCTAATGTTCAATACACATCATACGTTACCAAAATATAATATCGCGTATATGAATCTATTAGGATGAGCTGTCCCTGGGTAGTGTCGAGTCTGCCCTTGTCGCCAAAACCTTATAAACGCTCTACAAGTCAGGTTGTTTTTTGGGGGGTGGGGGGAGGGGTAAACACTTTCTGGGAGTGTTCGGCTAACCATTCGAAGGAACCCTTCGCAGTTATTGCTGTTGTCAGTGAAAATCTTGTAAACGCTCTACGTCAGAGGTTTTGGGATTATTTTTGTAACCCGCCAGAACTATATCAAGATTCAGAGTTGCCCATTAATTTTATGAATAGTTATTGTCTCTGACACTGACATAACATGGTGAGGTAATGTTTGTAACTGGTATCATTATACAGTGTTATCACCAACATATTAATTACTGCTTCTTCTTTTTCATAATGATACAGTTATTACAATCGTTTGGAAGCTGAAAGATGGAGATGATATAATAAACGGAGTGGAATAATGTCTGTATAACAAGATATATCAACAATTAATTAATTCCACCGTGGATTCTACTTGTTATTAACTTTCACAGAACAAATGAAAATTACTAGGGTTTTTTTTAAAGATACATTATCTGTTATGATATCTGGGATTGCCTGTGATTAGTAATATGACATTTAATGATTTTCTGAGATTCCATAAACTTACTGGATATCAATGGAAACGACCAATAAATAAATGAGAAGAGCCTAATATCAATACTTTTTGGTCTATTTAGATCACGCAAAATAGAGATCAAATTGACGTATTAGAATAATTTTCCTACTAATCTTTGTGGAAAAAACGATTTCCATCAAACGAAGGCACCCGTTCGAATGTCTGTGAATTGTATTATAATGCGTTTTGATTTCAGTTGTGCTTCTGTGATTAATTGAAGTCGATACGCCTTGGTATAACTATCCAACATAACATCCTGTGAACTCGACCAACCAAACCAACAGCAAAATGAACACTAGTAATTCAAGTAATATGCTTCCGATGAATGCTTACCCAGAATATAAGGCGTCTGTTTTAATTTGGAAAATATTTTCTCCAATATTGATAATAATTGGTACCATCGGAAATCTTTTGTCAATTTTGGTACTGACACAAAAAAATATGAGAAAATCGTCAGTTTCAATTTATCTGACAGTTTTGTCAATTGTGGACATCTTGGTTTTGTATACAGGCTTACTAAGACAAACTATTCAACATCATTTAAATCTGGATATTCGGGAACTAAGCGTACCCTCGTGTAAGATAAACACTTGGTTGGTGTATTTTACTTTAGATATGTCCGTCTGGTTGTTAGTGGCTGTAACAGGAGAGAGAATTATATCAGTTTGGTTTCCACACCGCGTAAGATATGCATGTACCAATGTTTCGTCTTCTATTGTGATTTCCATTGTCGGCGTTATCTTATTAGCAGTTAATTCCCATTTTCTCTATGGCATTGGTGATGTCATTAAGGAGCATGGAGAAGTTTCAAAATGCGAATCGTTGTGGGAAAATTACAATAATTTTGTTTGGCACATTTGGCCATGGGTAGATCTCTGTTTCTTCTGCTTGGTACCGTTCACGATTCTTATCATTGGAAATATTTCTATCATTGTAAAAGTGTGCTCATCAAGGAAAAACATCCGACGATTAAATACATTGCCAGGAAACACCCAACAAAACGATGTATACCGGAAGCAAACGTCGTCAATGACTTTGATGCTTTTGTGTTTAAATATGGTGTTTTTGACATGTACGTCACCAATAAGCGTGTATCTCATCGGCGAACCTTATTGGACAGCAGATTTAAGCGCACGTGGTGAAGCGCAACATGCATTAATATGGGCGATTGTAAACATATTAATGTACACAAATAATTCTATTAACTTTCTGCTGTATTGTATTAGTGGAACAAGATTTAGAGAGGAACTAAAGAACATTTTCAAAAAGAAAAATCGGATACGTCCCCAGGTATCTTTAACAAACGTCAATGGTGCCCGGCAAGTTGTAGCGGCGAATATGGATGAAAATAATACAATTCAAAAATCGCAGGACAAGAACGTTACCGATCATTTAACAGTTCCAACTGCAAAAACGTTACACGTGCCTATCACAATTCCGAAAACTTTGACCGTTAATTTTGAATCCGGAAGTAATCCAACTGATACTTCCGGTGAGAGACAGAACAACGCCGCTGGAAATAGTTGTGTTCAATAAATTAAATTGATTTTGTGATTTCCAACAGCGAAGTCATTCGTCATTGTATCAATAAACCGTGGTTTAATACTCGTAATCGTTTAAATGGCGAATGATACAGCTCCATTTACTTTGTTAAATTGTCACCAATGTTATACCACGACAAAACAATACATCATAAAATACTAATATAATTACAACCATATTAGAATTGCTACTCATTTGTGAGCTAAAAATAAGAGACTACTACGCAGCACATTTATGTTAAATGTGTATGTGTAGATCGTCAAAAATTAAATTTCTGCAGAGAATGTAAATGAATACACAGCGCGCGACTAATAGTCTCCACATCAACATTAACTTGTACTCCTCGGTTTAGAAATGGGGATTAAAGTGCCCATTAAGTGTTCATCACACAACGTTCAATACCTCTAATTCGCAATTCATCGGTAGATCCCGTAGTCTAACCTTTACTGTACATTGGATGTCATTATAAATTCTTTGAAAGTCTTCTTCTCCCGCTATCCCCCACAACACAAAACTTCCATTTTCAAATGGAATGCTCACAACTTGAAAATACTAATGTATCTTTTTCTCAGATACAAAAGAAAATATTTTGACATCTTTAGTATAAAATAGTGACCCTCAAATGTCAGCGCTGTGGTGTTCTGAGATCTGTGCATTAGACGCCAGTCTGCAGGTTGGCTCAGTTGGCAGCACCGCCACTGACGCCTTGATATTTATGCGGAAATACAGAGAAACGTAATATTGTAACCTATTACTGTATAGTGTGCAGGAAAGAAATGATACATATACTGCGAACGTTATACAAAAAGAAACAGTCAATATTGCGATGCACGGTGAATTAAAAAAAAACTAAACCACATAATCCTTTATAGCGAAATATGAAATTCAGCGAACCACAATAAGAAATGAAATGAAAATGAAATGGGGTTTAACGACCTATTGGCTAATGAAGACGGGCATACGAATTACACTGTACCATGAGGGAAATTTTTAACGGGCTGCGGCGCTATGGCCTACTCTTATATCAACCCCCCCCCCCACCCTCCACACACATACACATGAGACAAAGTAAGCGCCCCCGTGAGACAGAGTCCCCTCAGGCTCAGTCCCAAAACATTAAAAGCTTAGTAGTATAAGTGAATGAGTCGTGGGGCGACAGACTGTAGAAATGTTATATCAATTCTCATAAAACTGGCGGAATTGACAGGCGCAGTCCTCAAGATTCTGTCCCATTTCTTATCCTCTCCTTCACGAGAATTTGCTCCCATTTGCATTGACTAAATTTTTTTCAGACCCAGTTCCAAACAATTAAAAGCTCAGTTACATATTATACGTTGCTATAATCTGAATTGTTTTGCGCCTAAGGCGCTAGATTCCATTATGACATCATTCGTCCACTCCTCTGTGGTCTTAAACTGTCTCAGCACGGTCATATTCACGGTTATAGTGAACTGCCCAGTTAGTAGTACAACTGGTGCGTGTTTCGAGGGGCGACAGACTGTACAGATCTCGAGATTCTGTCTATTGACTCCCATTTCTGGTCCTCCCGTTCACAAGAATTCACTCACAGCAATGACCTCAAATGCCAGGATATTGACTCAATTTTTCTAAATTTTCTCAGCGGGAGACCCCTCTATCCCCCTTCAGGTTGTTCAGTGTTATAGCCCAGCCCCTAAGGTTCACATAAATGTAGTAACAAAATCAATAACAATCATCATATATGATATGAACTTTATGTCAACTTGAATAAAACTGCATGCTTTCCGGCGGGATAACGTTCGGCGAACAACTATATAGGCAATATGATCTATGTTTTACCGGGACGCTCAGTGTTATGGCCAGTATTTTGTTGGCATGCATTGAGGGGGGGGGGGGTGTGGATGGCGCCCTAGATTTGGACCCCCTCCCTAGATCCACTACTGATTCCAACTGCCAAAGGTTCGCCGGCGTGCACACTAGACCTCGGGTTTCACGTCCATCCGACGACTATACGTTGCCCCTTGCCAGATCCTCCGCCCTGCACCACTGACAAGGGGAACCACGCAGGAAAATTCAGATGAACTTTCTCGAACATGGGACTGAGCCACCATGGCTCCCAACCACGACCTGATGAAATATGGTAAAATAAAGTTAAACGTAACTTTAGGCGAATTAAGATGAAATAGTCAAAAATGATTAAATATAGCGTAACCAAATACAACGAAATAAAAGGAAGAAAACATGACGTAGTAAAAAAGAAAAATCAAACAAACTACCACCAAGGATGGTCGGTTTTATAAACTGGTGTGAATCTAGTTCAACATGATACTTTGGCATCTGATGGTCACGGTTTTTGTTTTTCCATTTGTTTGCTTGCTTGAAATTTCCTGTCAAAATCGTGTACATCTGATTATTATAACATCATAAAAACTAAAATGTAGTCCATGTATTTGGTATGTCATAATAACAGTTTCTGTGTTTTAGCCTCCAGATGCACGCCAAAATGACGCTAGAGACCATGTGTCTTTCAAACATTTTCGAGCGCGGGTTGCTTGACCCAGAGCTCGGAGGGCCCTGTTGTGCGCCCTGCCCTCGTCCATATAGAAAAACACAAAGATGGAAAAAGAGAACCGATTGACACATACAATTTATAAGTTATAAACCACATGTTCAATATACAATAAGTTTTACAATGTAATTTGTATGTAAGATATATTATGTTGAATTAAAATTCATTTTAAACGAGTTTAAAAATTCGCATTCCAATCACCCTACAAAGGCTAAAAGATGACGGTTGGTGATATCGGGTTATTGCCCATATTGCCCACATGCAACGTTGTGTTCGGTGTTGCTGTACTTAGTGTTTAACGTCCGCTTCCACCGAAGGTGATATCGCAGACACGTTGTCTTATTTTTGTTTTAATGATCTTAGCGCATGCGTAGGGGTCTTTGCTGTGGGGGGAAACCGGAGTACCCGGAGTAAACCCACGAGATTGAGAAGGCGCCCCTATCTCCAAGGCACATACACTCACACCAGGGATCGAATCCACAACCGCGAGCCAGAGGACGAAGCGTTTCGCTCTAGACCACTAGGCCACCCCCCCCCCCCCCTTTGTGTTCGGTCTGGCTGTCTATATGTCTATCTGTCACACTTTTGGGACACAATAACTCTTCTAATTGAGCTAGAATGTTCAAACTTTCTGTAGGTGTTAATGAGTTAAATTCCTTGCCTTGGTGGAGTTCGAAGATAAACATTTTCTGCTCAGGCTTAGCAGAAATAAGCAATTTGACTGATTAATGCTTTGGGGTACGATAACTTTGGTTCTAAATGAGGTTTTAATTTCTTGAAATCTCTAAATGATCCATCCCTATTCTGGGATTTTATCAAACACTCAAGGTGTACATAAAGCAAACCAGTCTATTATTCCGCTTTTATGAGTGAGCCACTTTAACACTCTTTTGAATAATGATGCATACATCTCATAGTACCAGACTGGTGTTTACCCTTCAAGTTCAAATGACGTTAGCGATAGTATTGATTATCCATTAATTAACGCATCGATTTTTTTTCAAATTTTGGCCAGAAAAATTTGTACCCAGTTTTAGTTCTGGTAATTTTCCAGAACCATGGTCAAAAGCAATCATCGCCCCACTTCGTGAAAAGGAGGGCCAAAACGGACGCAAGCAGTTATAGGGGTATATCCTTCTTAGATTGTATGGGTAAGTGGTATAGATATGTGCTAATGGTAGCTGCGATGTATTGACAAATATGTACAAATCTGTCTCGTCTTGTGTAAAACTGGTTTCAGAGATAACTTCATATTTCTTATGTCTATCGGGCGTACGCCAAGGCCGTATACTTAGTCAAATATTGTTCTGCTTATACCTGAATCAACTGTTCGATTGTTTTAGTTCTGAGCATATTATTGATATTTTAACCATTTAAGAGACAGACGACATCTTGTTATTGCTTTATGCTGCTGGTCTTGCGATTCCAGCTGATACTGTCGGAACTTTGCAATCTAAAATAAATACGCTTGAAACATTATGAGATAATTTCAATCTTAAAGTAAATCTGTCGAAGACAAAAATGCCAAAATGGTTGTATTCAGAAACGGAGGAATGATTTTAAAATCGGAAAAATCAGAATGTGTACCTTATTATTGTTATCTGGGCCTCGTTTTTTCATCTCGACTACAGTGGAGCAAATGCGTTTCTAATCTTGCGCTAAAGCTCAAAAAGTGTAGCTTTCAATTAATGGTCTGATCAGAAAAGCTCGCCGTCCATATTTGAAAACATCCTTTTAGATATTGTGCTTGATAACGATAAGATAATACTTGTCAAAACGTCGTGCTTTTAACTTTTAGAATAAACCTGTGGTTGTTTCTCATAAAAAATTGTTTTCTGTTAATCCTTTTAGATATTTGATTCCTTAATCATACATTATACAAGAGCTAAATCTGTCTATTGCAGGTCTTTCTTTAGGCCGGAAATGTTATCTAAATTATTAATTAGACATTAATTAACTTATCCAGACCGCTAGCCTGCGATCTTTAGTGGATTATGAGCCGATTTACTGCATAACTTTCCTTCACGATTTAACGATTAAATGCATAATCGAGACTATGCTGTTTATCGTACTGACTTTAGTAATGATGATCGAGGCTAGGCAGAAATTTCAATCGCTTAGTTCTCGGTTCATAGTGAATCAATTTGAATGGAATTTTCAGCAAATTGCCTTTACATTATCTAGTTTTTAACTATTATAGTGAGGTCTGCCAACTCGTTATCGAATCTCCCATAATGTATCTTTAATAAGACCGATATTATCATACGGATCGAATATAGATCCGATATTGAACGTGTTCGAACAAATTTCAGTAAACTCCTTCTGGGTGTATACAAAAGTACTTCAAATGCTTGAGTCATTGGGGAATGTGGACATCAAAATCTATCTGTCATATACATGACAAACCGTATAAAATATTGGTGTAAGGTCATCAGAATGCCAACAACCGGGTATTCAAAGCGAGTGTATTTGATGCTGAGAAGCATAGACAGTGTTGGTAGGATATAATGGGTATCAAAAGTAAGAATACCATTATCCTC